ACATGCTGTGTAATGTCTGCAGTCATTTAAGGCTCCATGCGTTTTAATGATGCAATCGTGAAGCTGTCATCCTCCTCGCCCTTCACAGGGAAAACATGATGCTTAATACACATAATCAATTCAATGTACAAATGCAAAGGCTTTATTCTCATATGCACAGACGTTACAATGTAGATATGCAATGAAAATATTAAGTCCAAAGCTCCTCCATCAATGCAACGTTATATATATATAAGACACAAACAATGTAACACGTTTAAAAAGCGACTAAAATAAAACAGATTAAAGTAAACCATGTCAGATAAGAATACATACAATAAGCTATATATGCAGAGACTGTTGTAAGTGACCAGGTGTCTGTATACATGTTAAAATAGACAGGATACATCAAAAATAATGTTTATTGTAGTCAATAAATATTCAGATTAATACATTGTTAAATGCAAATAGACAACAGTCTGCTGATTTGTAGGTTTGATGGTAACTTTACATATACAATATTAGCAATAACTTACACATATAATAAACATTAACAGCAAATATACACAATAGAAAAGACATGTATTCCTAGAGTATCTCAACAATACACAATATAAAGGAAATACTGAATACATTTGAATACAAATATTGGCATTGGATTATATATATATATATATATATATATATATATATATATATATATATATATATATATATATATACACACATTACAAAAGGAGTAACACATCTTGTACACAAATCTATGGATAATATACAATGTTAAGAGAAAAATATTGACTCGATATCCCAAAATAATACCTTAGTAGCCTGGTTGGATTTAAATCAAAGTATTTTTTTAGATGCTGAATCATTATTTTAAGACCATATAATAACCTACATGTACAGTAAATGTTAGCTTAGTGAAGTTGACAGTGACGTGTGCAAAGTCTCGTTAGTCAACAAAAATAACGACTTTAATTCACATTTTCTGTAATTGTTTTTCATATATTGACGTTATGTTCAAGTAGAAAGCAGCACCTGGAGATTATTACAATTATTTTCTTTAATTTTCCACAATTTGAGTGGTATCTTTTTAAGGTTATTTGGGCTGTATGATGTCACATTAAGCTGTTGAGTTTTCTGATGTTACAGTCAAGGTCACATGCTGCTTTCAATGTCATATTTATTGAATAGCAAGCCCTCATATCCAGTGACAAATCTGAGATGTTTGCAGCTGCTGTGACGGCACAAATGGAAAACAGCGAGTAAAAAAACCACGTAGATTTTGCAGGGGTTTTTTTGCGTAGCGTTCAGATCCTGACGTCCCGCCTGCTGCACTTGTTGTAGGTCACTTTGGATCAGCTGAATGAAAAGATTAGAAGTGAAGGGAGAGAGTCTGATGTAAGCAGCTGTGACAAAATGTTGTTTCCACTGAGCTTTATTGGTTTGAGTAAGAAAAGACACTCTTAATGTAAATAATATCCTGCGTTTGAAACCCTTCAATAGTGTTTTATTGTCAGAGTTTATAGATCTTCACGTCCTACTATTTTCTACTTTTTAATGCTGATTTAATTCTATTTTGAGATGTTTAAATACTAGTATTGTTTATTTGTACTCTTTAATTTCTACTTATGTGCAAGGCCTTCTTTTGTTTCCCAGTACATCCTATCTTATCTGGTTCTGATATGCACTTAATTTAAAAAAAAAAGGCCCATTGTCTTGTCTGTGTTTCCCAGTTACTTTCGGAGCTGCTATCTTGTGGCTATGCTAACATTTCACAGCTTTTATAACGTGCAATAAACGACCATTAAGTGGTGGTTTCCAGTTTGTGGTCTGGATGTTTTCCCCAGCTGTTTTCAAGCCACAGGAAAGTGTGTGTTTCTGCAAGTAATGAGTTTAGTTTGGAGTATTTTGTTTAACCTTGACAACAAGTCAGAGCTACTGTATATCATTTCCGCTGCATCACAAGTGTAATTAGAGGACTCACAGACACAGGCATTTTATGGAAGAATAAAGCGTGCATTAGCAAGATGTTTCACCAACATAAGTGGCACCTACCTAGCAATAAAGATGATTCATATATGCAATATCCAGTCAATGAAATGACACTAAATCCACTGTCATTTCGGGGTCAGTACAGTTTGTAGTATTATCACATTAATCTCCACAGAGCTTCAGTGTTACGTAAGCAGAGGATGAATGTTGCACAAGGACTCTGTCTTCCCTCAGGCCTTCCTACTGACACACACACACACACGCACGCACGCACGCACGCACACACACACACACACACACACACACAACATGATACGTTTTCTACTGTACTGTGAAATCGATTAATGTCTTTCTTCAGATAGTGACTGTATTTTTAGGCACGTCGATCTAAGGAAAGATGCTATCCAATTGCATTATGGTCCTGCTTTTTGGGGCATACTAATTTCTTTAAAATCAGGATATCTTGCCGTCTTCTGCCTACATTTTGCGTATTCTTTTTTATACTCTCTCATAAGCCTCAAAATGTTATCGGTCTGCAGCAGTAATTACGTGTTTTAACATGTTTTCCAGCAGAAGCAGGTTTTAATTTTAAAAAATGTGCGCAAAAATATCAAAACAGACTGAAATTGAGACTAAAGATGTGAAAAGAAATACAGTACCATACTGTCCAGAAGCGATTGTCCACAGTTGCTCGTTTATTCTTCCAATTCTCTAGAGGGAAGAGATCTGTCTCCCCCCTTAGCACTCCCTAAAAACAGGGAGAAAGGAGGAAATGGAAAAACTGTATACAGCATTTGGCATGCTTTGTGCTAGTGTAAATATACATTTCCTACTTTAAATACCTAAGATATTTTGAGTAATATCATGGGTAGATGTTTGTACTAGGGGTTATCTGTTTTATTGTGTTGCACTGTTGGAGGAGCCTGTGACCTAAGATTTTCATGATATATCTACACTGTAGCTATGTACAAATGACAATAAAAGCCTTGAATCTTGAATGATATAATCTCACATTTAAGATGTTTATTATTGATGACTCTCCTCAGGTAAAGGTGTGCGCGGGTCGCCGCCCACCACAGCAGAAACAGGATGTGATGTCACAGCTTTAGCCGTTTCCCGTTTCCTGTCCAGCTGTTTGTTGCCACTCCAAAAGAGAGGACATGTTTGAAGTCAAACCCCGAGCGGTGGAGAAGAAGGAGTCGAGCACTGAGACAGGTACGGAGCTAAGAGTGTGTTTAAAACCAGAGACTATACATGTCAACACTTTTTTACACATACAGGAAAATATACAAAGGGCTGGGCTCACTAGAGGTGATGTATATTGCTTCATAAGTTAAGTTATAAGTCAGCGAACTTAATCAAATGTTGGTACATTATGCTTAATCAGCCTCAGCTCTCCATAGACTTTCAATTATTTAGTTAGCAACACATTCCTAAATAGTAAGGGTATATTTCAAGCTTTGGTATGTAAATAAGTTATTGGACTTTTTCTTATCAACTTAGATTTTGTACAATATCAGTCTTTATTTATTTATATAGCACATTTAAAACAACCTCAGTTGACCAAAGTGCTGTACAGGGAAAGAAATACAATATAAAATGACACAATAGTAGTAAAACAATAATTAGAGTCAGTACTTCTACTTTTACCAGAGTATTTTTAAACACAAGTATCTGTACTTCTACTTGAGTAAAGGATGTGTGTACTTTTCCCATCTCTGATATTGAGAGTGTTTTCTGACCCCAGATGAGGGGCTGGGCAGCAGCGGGAAGAACTTCGGCTCGATGGGCTCCGGTTCGGCTGACTCTGGATCAGTTTACCTGTCCGACAGCCAGGACTGGGCGGTGTCTCCGGGATGTTCTCCTGACGACGGCACCGGGCAACTCACTGCCATCTCCCCCATGCTGGCCGAGGAGACTTTCCGCTACATGAGTAAGTGCCCATTTTTTGGAGGAAATTCTTAAGAGAAACTGATAAATAATTCATGGACAAAGTGTTTCTTTTGTTATATTTAATAAAGTAATCAAGAAAGTCAATACACGAGTGAAATCAATCCCTAATGTAGGAACAGAGCTACTTCATCCTCAGAGGATTGAGAAGTTCTCACAGCTTACAGTCTCACTATATAGTAGAGAGAAAAGCCAACTGGTCCCACCCTTAAATTCCCTCAGGCATCATCTACACATCAAACCATAAAACCATAAAACCCCTTTGTCCTTAACCATTTGTAAATCCACGTGTTACACTTCCTCCTGAAATGTAAACCCTTAACATACGTCTCTGTTAAACACATACAAGACTAAAAACACAATTGAAAAGAGTAAAAGGCAATCAGAGTATAAGACTATATGTTTTAAATGATTATATGATTATTTGACACGACAGATATCACTTAAAAAGCACAGTTGCTATTCAAAATATTGAGTTTGTGTCGCCGTGAAGTAGCCTGAGAGTTGGTAATTAATTGCTTATTTTAAAAGTTACTTAAAGATTCTTTGTAATGTATTAATTGTATTAATCTTGTGTGAACCTGTGCTGTCCTGTATTTCAATCTTACCCTGTTGCTGTTTAAACTACTTATCTTTCAGTTTACGATTCCTCTTCTCCAGCTGATTAAAACCTGTAAAAAAGAGAGGAAATCAGATCAGTGTTTCTCCCACATTTAGTTATGTGCGTCTACTTTCTTATGATTTGTCTTTCTTCAGTGAGCAGATGTTTTGGATACGGATTTATTTCATTGCTTCACATCCTCCTCAGTTAACAGAGATTTAGCGTGGGTCACAGGGTTGTTAATTACGCCTATTTTCACTATGCTTGTTTGTATCAGACGGCTCTGACAGTGTGTGTGTTTGTGTGTGTGTGTGTGTGAGACAGCGAGGAATTAAGGGTTAAGTGTAGTTCAAAGTCAGAGTCACGGGACAGAGTGATGAGGAGGAAAAAGGGAGGAGGGGTTTTGATAGAGAAGGAAGACAGAACTGTAGAGAGAGCATTCGGACCATGCCGGTTTTTAACATTCACAATGAGGAGATTTATGACAGTTTCGCTGTGGAGGGTGAGTGTAATTGACAAGGTCAGGCAGAAAATGGAGGGGAAAGTGTGTGTGTGTGTGTTCACTGTAGTGTGTGTGTTCCTTGAAAGACAGGAAGTAGGCAAGTCTGAAGCGTGTTTACATTAAAAAATGTTTGGTATGCGTGAGCAGTGATATAACAGTTGGATAGATGTGACTTCCTGTCTACAGCTGATTTCCCACCACCCAACAGAAAGGATATAAAAGAAATGCCTCTACTGTAATGTAATATCTCCTGTTAATAATAACAATATACATTTCTCAAAATACAAACTCTTCTCGTCGTCTCTTTGGCAAAAGAACTGTGCATTCACCACGCTTATGATATCTGGACCTGAATGAATACAGTGTAACTCAAATGCACAACGCTTTTGTTTACATGATTCTCAATAGTCTTTACATGGTGTGTGTGTGTGTGTGTTTGTTATTTAACTGCACGTGTGTGAGAAGGGTTACAGTAAGGAAGTCGAGGTCTCGTGTTCCTGCTGTGCAAAATCAAGCTTGATCTATTTATAGTGCTTAGTGATGCACTTAAACAGACCGTGCTAATATGCCTGCCATGGTCGAGGAGAAATGAAGAAATGTGTGCGTTTTTGGCACTAATTGAGTCACTAATTGACTGTCAGTATGCAAGCTGTCTGACAACCAGAATATTGAACTAAAACACCACATATTGAAACTCATTGGACTTTGCTTTTATAATGTAGTTTATTGCTGTCAATAAATGTCTTTACAACCAGCACTAGTGTGTGTGCATTACGTCTTTTGATACTTGACGTCAATGCTACGTGAGAGATTGTAGGCATTGTGTGTGTCAGTAGCCGTCTTCTTGCATGCAACAAAGATAGCTCTACTGGTTAAAGGTTATTTTTAAACGTTGTTAGCGCACGGTCCAGATCCAGAGGTCACTGTGAGCCTCAGATTACTCGACGACAGCCTGTATTTATTTGAGCAGCTGCTGAAGGCTTTCTAGCTCTGCTTAATACGTTTCATTCTTGCTCAAATGTAGTTTGTGACACCACTGAATGTACGTTTTTTACAGCATTTCAATTTGTGGAATAAAAAGAGTCTCTCAATCAGAATACCTTTATTAGTCCCACAGAGGGGAAATTCACATTTATGGCGCTTTTCCACTGCAGGGCCTCGCTCGGCTTAGTACGGTATAGTTAGGCCTTGTTAGGCCAGGCTCACTTTATGCTGCGTTTCCATTACAGTTTAGTAGCTGTGGTAGTATCTATAGTAACGCAGTGTAGGCGGAGCCGTGACGTCATCTTCAATGCGAAACACAAAACCAACATCAGCCGTTAGCTGTTAGCACTCAGAGCTCACAGCTCCTTATATCTGTTCAGAAACTAGACAAAAGTTAAACAAGTACAAACCACAGACTGCCTGTGTCATGGTGAATACAGTCGCTGCTTTATTTATGTCTGTAGGCCGTTGTTGTGAGTGTGGACGGTCGGAGCATATACTGCGTTAGCTTAGCCAATCTCCATTCAGAAAACACGCATTTTAAAAGGTGTTTCTCCTGCCGTCTGTCTGCAGACTTGACAAAGCATTAATTCATGGTTTTTACTAACCGGTATCAGTATGTTGTTACTTCGGCATCATTTTGAAACGTGTATTACAATTAAATCACGGTCAAATATGTTCATCTTGTTGTAGTTGTAGCCTCCTTGCCAGCTATGCTCTCTCTAGTTTAGCATACTCAGCCCGGTTGTTGGCCCGGAAAGAACCTCGATTTTGGAGAGCCAGAAAACCTGCTCAAAGACCCTTCAGCGTGCATTTGATCTGGGATTCAGCTCTAAAGGTGTATCATCTCTGCTTTTAAAGAGACTCCTCCTTCTGTTATTTACTAAAAGGCAATGTTTCAATGATTAGAGTTACCACTTTTCTTTGAACAGGTGGAAAGGGGAGCGGTGCAGCGCTGGTGAAACCCACTCAGGTGCTAAAAGTGGTGCAAACTAGTCGATGTGTAGACAAACTAATGTTACAAATGAAGCAGCTTTCACCTCCAGCTTCTCACCCCCTTTCTTTCTGTCTTTTTGACCCATTCACCTTTTTAAACGTTCCCTTCTTCTCTGTCTCCGATCTCTCACTAGCGTATCTTGCTTTGGAGCCCTCCTCTCATTCCCACCCCGGCTCTCAAAGCCTCTCCAAAGGTATCTTTCTCTCTCTTTTGTTCATCTCTGCAACTTCATTTAGCTCAGAGGTGTCCAAACCTTTGTTCCCTGAGGGCCACATACGCATGAAGGGCAGGGCCCCCATGTATATTGCCTAATAAGTTATCTATCGTTAAACTATCAAATGTAGGTTCATTAGGCTTGATACTTGAACATGCTTTAAGAAAACCAACAGCATACATCACAGCTCTCTATAGGGTTTCATTGATTGTGTTGGCAGCTCATTCCTTAAAACAGAAGCCTCAGATTGCTGATTAAGGGAAATATGATGGGTATATTTCAATACAAATAGTTATTGGGCTTTTTTTACTAAGCCCAATAACTAAGATTGACTAAGCCCAATAAGCCCAATAACTAAGACTTACTAAGCCCAATAACTAAGACTTACTAAGCCCAATAACTAAGACTTACTTAGCCCAATAACTAAGACTTACTAAGCCCAATAACTAAGACTTACTTAGCCCAATAAGCCCAATAACTAAGATTTGTTAGAAAATGTTTTAAACGTGAATTTATTTGAAAAGTGGGCCATATTCCGTTATACTTTTTGAATTTGATGAGGGCCAATTCAAAATGGACAACGGGCCGCAATTGTTCGCGTAGTTTGGACACCCCTGATTTAGCTCCAGTGAGCTTTTGCATGTAGATGACCGCAAGAAATCTGCGTAGTTTAGGTCAGCTTTGCCTCAGTAGGAAGCTTGTAGCGCTTTATAACTAACTGTACAGTGTGTGTGTGCCGTCTCTTTATATCTGTACAGTGTGTGTACAGTGCTACTGTGGCTTTGTTATATTCAGACCACTAGCAACCACATTGCTTTGTTGTGGAGCCATTTCATCAAAAGGAGTGCTATAATTGCCGTTTGGCTGCTAAGGAAGTGTCTGCCTTTGGTCAGGACATTTGATTAAGTAGGAAGTGAAGTGATTTCATTTTCACTTTTATATTAAGGTACACTTAATCACCATCAACTAGTTGTTAATTAACATATTAGAGACAAACTAGTAGCTTATTTGTTATGAACAAGACACATATTCTGAGTTAGAAATACCACATTTTTCGTTATTTTGACACAATTAACACTTCATGTCTTGTTACATAAGAATAGACCATGTGTGTTATTATAGGAAATGTACTATTAGGCCCATATTGAGCATATTAAGACCCAAACTCGTGTACAAAAACGTCCTTACTTACAATAAAATAAGCACTAATTAGAGGGTTATTAAGGAAAAACTCTTAGCTAATGGTTTAGTACTTGTAGAATATGGTCAAGGCATTAATAAGTGTTTTCTAATGACTAATTAAGAGCCCATATACTGCTAGTATGCATGTTAATTGACAACTAGTTGATGGTGAATACCTTAATATAAAGTGTTACCTTCATGCATGATAGACTGCATGAGTGTGTTTGCTTGTCTTGTGTCTCCTTAAATTAAAATATGATGTTTCTGTCCAGTCCTCAGTGGAGATCGCGTGGAACAGATGACCAAAACTTACAATGACATCGACGTGGTCTCACACCTTTTGGCCGAGGTGAGTTCTCCTCATTTTTGTCGTAATAAGCAGCATTTGTTTTGGTTTGTTTTAACTCTCTGTGCTTTTTATTGGACAGCGAGACAGAGACTTGGAGCTGGCGGCTCGCATCGGGCAGTCTCTTCTGCAGAGAAACCATCTTCTGCAGGGACGAAATGAAGCTATTGAGGAACAGCTAGCACAGACAATTGATCAGGTATTTAAAACACACTTTAACAGACATTTCTGATTTGAGAAAGGCGTTTTAAATGTACCTTTCTTTGTCTTCCTTATGTACAAAAAGCTATGCTTCATCTGCTGGAGCAAATCAAATATATAATGGTCACACATGCAGAGCACACAGTGAAATGTTTTCTCTGCTTTTAACCCATCCTAGTAACTCATAATCATTCAATCTTTACCGATGATATCCTCCAGGTTCACCAGCTTCAACATGAGCTCAGTAAGAAGGACGAGTTGCTCCGGATGGTGGCCAGCGCGTCGGAGGAAAGCGAGACGGACTCCAGCGTTTCGACGCCGTTACGTCAGCCTCCAGCGCTGCGTGGAAACACAACTTCCTCCACTCTCAGTCAGCTGGAGAATCTGCAGAGTAAACTGCAAGATCTGGAGGAGGAGAACTTGGCGCTGAGATCTGAGGTAAAAACATGATGAGGCAGAGGTGGGAAGTAGTGGAGTACAAATACTTAGTTTACTTATTTTTCTGATGACTTGATAGCAGTATATTGTCTGTTTGTTAGTCATTATAAAACACTTATTAATGCCTTATGGCCTACCTGCCTGTCAGCCTTCCATCGGGGCACAAACTTATCTCGTGCCCTCATTGGTCATGTGCGCGTTCGTGTGTGTTGGAGGAGGGGCTCTGTAAGGAAGTGGGAGATTTTTTCCGGCTGTGTATTTTCAAATTCTAGCGCACTCGAGCTGGTTTCTCCAAAATTACCTACCCCACCTTTAACAACTAGTTGATGGCAGAGGTGGGAAGTAGTGGAGTACAAATACTTTGTTACCGTAATGCCTTGTTTCTCTCTCCACTCCAGGCGTGTCAACTGAAGACCGACACCATCACCTATGAGGAAAAGGAGCAGCAACTAGTGAGCGATTGTGTTCAGGAGCTCCGTGAGTGATGCCTAATCTTACACATCAACAAACCTGCTGTATCATGTCTAAAATGCAGATTTTTTAACGTTGGTCTGTGTGTGTTGTTTTCCAGGTGAGTCCAACGGCCAGATGGTTTCTCTCACGGACGAACTGTCTCATAAGAACGAGGATCTGCTCAGACATCAGGAGGAAATCACTCAGCTGCTTTCTCAGATAGTGGAGCTGCAACACAGAGTGAAGGAGGTGAGGGAAAATTATGTTTATTAGGTTATTACATCAACAACTGTGAACACACACACACACACACACACATACCATGTATACATCACTTCAGGGGACATTACATTGACTTACATGCATTTCCTGGAGACTTATCCTAACCTTAACCCTAACCAACACATGCCTAACCCTTAACCTAACCAAGTCTTCACCCTAAAAGTAATGATTCCCCTCATGGGGTCCTCCATTATGTCCCCATAAGGGAGGCGAGTCCCCACACGTGACTGTGTAAACAGATTTAGGTCTCCACAAGTATAGTAATGCTAGGACACACACACACACACACACGCACGCACACGCACACGCACACGCACACACACACACACACACCCCTCTAAGACTGCAACCACTACTATTTAGAAATACTTATGGCTATTTTACTAATATATATATATATATATTTTTTACTGCAGTGAGAGTTGCCAAAAGAAATGTCGTTGTACTTTGTATGATGACAATAAATATATATTCTATTATATTATATTTGTACAACTTTATTTGTTTTGTTTCAAACCATTATACAGTACAATATATCTTTCAGTCACATTCACATTTTCAGTTTTTCCAGCTGTTTCAATACAATCTTGGGATATATTAGATTTACTTTTACGCTGCTATGGACTAATTCACATTTCTCAAAGTTATTGAAGTGGCTGTTATTTTGTATATATTGATTGTTGTGCATATGTATGTGTTAATGTGTGCATATGTATACATGTGTCTGTTGATTGTGTATATAAAGATTGACAATAAAGTTGACTTTGGCATTGACAAGGCATTGAATTAGAATACCTTTTAAACGTCCTACAGAGAGGAAATCTACAAAATTAACAGCCAAAAATGTTAATTAAGAGGCATGCATGTGTTGTTTTTCCGCAGCTTGCTTTGGAGAAAGAAGAGCTGAGAATTCACCTTCAGGCGTCTAAAGAATCTCAAAGACAGCTCACAGCAGAGGTACAATTTATCGTTTTTAGTTACAGTATCTTACTTTGCAGAACTAACAGATTTTAATGGAGAAATTCTTATTTTTTTTGGGTTAATTCATGTGTTTTGCAGCTGGACGAGTTGGCCGACAGGAATGCTGAATGTTTAGAAATGCTCCACGAGTCCCAGGAGGAGATTAGAGAACTTCGAAATAAAAACACTCCTTCGGCTGGGATGAGAAGACACCTTTCATACGGCCTCTATCCAATGGTGAGAAAAACACACCTACCTACCTACCTACCTACCTACCTACCTACCTACCTACCTACCTACCTACCTACCTACCTACCTACCTACCTACCTACCTACCTACCCACCCCCACCTACCTACCCACCTACCTCTCTATCTAGCTTGTTTGTGAAGACTGGATATGTATCTTTGTTTGATTACAGGACTCTCTAGCAGCAGAGATCGAGGGCACCATGAGGAGAGAGTTAAGTGTAGACGAGGAAACCGTCTCTCAGGACCAAAGGTCAGTAAACCAAAAACAAAACAAAAGAAATTAATACTTATTTTTCTGACGACTTTTTACTTTCTACTTCTTACATGTTGAACACAAATACCTGTACTTTCTACTTCTTACATGTTGAACCCAAATACCTGTACTTTCTACTTCTTACATGTTGAACACAAATACCTGTACTTTCTACTTCTTACATGTTGAACCCAAATACCTGTACTTTCTACTTCTTACATGTTGAACCCAAATACCTGTACTTTCTACTTCTTACATGTTGAACACAAATACCTGTACTTTCTACTTCTTACATGTTGAACACAAATACCTGTACTTTCTACTTCTTACATGTTGAACCCAAATACCTGTACTTTCTACTTCTTACATGTTGAACACAAATACCTGTACTTTCTACTTCTTACATGTTGAACACAAATACCTGTACTTTCTACTTCTTACATGTTGAACACTAATACCTGTACTTTCTACTTCTTACATTTTGAACACAAATACCTGTACTTTCTACTTCTTACATGTTGAACACAAATACCTGTACTTTCTACTTCTTACATGTTGAACACAAATACCTGTACTTTCTACTTCTTACATGTTGAACCCAAATACCTGTACTTTCTACTTCTTACATGTTGAACACAAATACCTGTACTTTCTACTTCTTACATGTTGAACACAAATACCTGTACTTTCTACTTCTTACATGTTGAACACAAATACCTGTACCTTCTACTTCTTACATTTTCCAAACAGGCTGGTTCCTTTAGTTTGAATGTGTGTTTGGTGGCGTGATCATTATTATTTAGAGTATTGATTTGAACACGATTAAAACAGCTGGTAGTTATGGGTACTTTTTACTTAAGTACATTTCGAAGCCCATACTTTTACTTGAGCAAAGAAGTTTAGTCAGTACTTCTACTTTTAACAGAGTATTTTTTATCACGAGTATCTGTACTTCAACTTGAGTAAAGGATGCGTTTACTTTTGCCATCTCTGCTGTTATGGTGAATAAGTGTACGTTAATAATATAAAGTGTTACCAATTGTTCTGCTACTTTAATATCTTACTTCACCGTACATTTGTTTACCCTTCAGATCATCCCAAAGGCGAGTCTTTCAAACTGTTCGCTCCATCAACTCCTCGTCATCTCGTCCAGCTTCTGCCACTCCTCCCATCCCAGGATCAGGGCAGAGCTCTCTGGTTATGACGGCACAGCCTTTCCAGTCCAATCAGGGGTACGTTACCAGTAATGCATTTGGATTTTTATCTTTAGGGTGACCTTTGTGCCCTTGAAACTGAAAGGGAAACAAAAATGACACAAAAGCAGTGAATAATAGTGTCTGAAACTAAATAAAAACGATATCCTTAAAGGAAAAACTTAATTGAAACTGGGCCATTTGTGTTAATTAGCATGACATTGCATTGTAGCCCATGCAGTTCAAAAAATGGTTTGGCCGATTTAGGACAATTTCGGAGAGGTTATGTGGGTTATTGAGGATGCTGAATCCATTTCTGACCTTTTCAGAATCCAAAATGGCAGTTTGAACCAGAAAGAAGCCATATTTGTAGTCCCTTGTGGTTTTACCAGAGGCTGTAGTGGTTGTACAGCAAACTAACTAAACCTTACATTCCTGAAAAACTTAGACTAGCAGACACTGAAAACTTAAATAAAATATAAAACTAATATTTGATTATTAGGTTATGTGGGTTATTGAGGATGCTGAATCAATTTTTGACATTTCCAGGTTCCAAAATGGCAGTTTTAACCAAAAAAGTGGCCATAATTGTACTACCAGAGGCTTTGGTGGTTGTACAGCAAACAAACTAAACCTTATATTCCTCAAAAACTTCAATGAAATCTTGAAATATCAAATTATTATGACCTTGTTGCAGGGAGGAGGTGCGAATCGGCCAACCTGGCTGTCCTGGAGGAAACGATCTGAACAGAGCTCTCCATCGACTCTCGCTGCGAAGACAGAACTTCATGTGCGAGCGTCGCTTCTTCCAGGCGGAGCGAGAGAAGAAGATGCAGGCGTTGTCCGAGACCGACGGAGAAAGCAGCGGCTGCGTCTCCCCGATGGGAAGCAACATGTCGTCTTTCTCCAACCTGTCAGAACTCTCCTTCAGCTCCAGCGTTTTCAGGACCTTCCTGCCCGAGAAGCTGCAGATCGTCAAGCCCATGGAAGGTAAATCACAATACCTTTAAGTACTGACTAAACTTCTTTACTCAAGTAAAAGTAAAGAACTTTGAAATGAACTTCAGTAAAAAGTACCCATAACTAGCAGCTGTTTTAAAGAGTACCTGACCTCCCTTTATATTAATAGAACAATAATGTCATTGTTAGCTAATGAATGTTTCCATGCTGAACAACGGCAACATGACAACGTTTTCATTGGTCCCTCTTCTTTAGAGAAGACCAGGAAATGATGGATACACGGATCGTGTTCAAATCAATAGGCACGCAATGACTCTAAATAATAATGATCACGCCACCAAACACACATTCAAACTAAAGGAACCAGCCTGTTTGGAAAATGTGAGAAGTAGAAAGTACAGGTATTTGGGTTCAACATGTAAGAAGTAGAAAGTACAGGTATTTGAGTTCAACATGTAAGAAGTAGAAAGTACAGGTATTTGAGTTCAACATGTAAGAAGTAGAAAGTACAGGTATTTGAGTTCAACATGTAAGAAGTAGAAAGTACAGGTATTTGTGTTCAACATGTAAGAAGTAGAAAGTACAGGTATTTGTGTTCAACATGTAAGAAGTAGAAAGTACAGGTATTTGTGTTCAACATGTAAGAAGTAGAAAGTACAGGTATTTGTGTTCAACATGTAAGAAGTAGAAAGTACAGGTATTTGGGTTCAACATGTAAGAAGTAGAAAGTACAGGTATTTGGGTTCAACATGTAAGAAGTAGAAAGTACAGGTATTTGTGTTCAACATGTAAGAAGTAGAAAGTACAGGTATTTGTGTTCAACATGTAAGAAGTAGAAAGTACAGGTATTTGGGTTCAACATGTAAGAAGTAGAAAGTACAGGTATTTGTGTTCAACATGTAAGAAGTAGAAAGTACAGGTATTTGGGTTCAACATGTAAGAAGTAGAAAGTACAGGTATTTGTGTTCAACATGTAAGAAGTAGAAAGTACAGGTATTTGTGTTCAACATGTAAGAAGTAGAAAGTACAGGTATTTGTGTTCAAAATGTAAGAAGTAGAAAGTACAGGTATTTGTGTTCAACATGTAAGAAGTAGAAAGTACAGGTATTTGTGTTCAACATGTAAGAAGTAGAAAGTACAGGTATTTGTGTTCAAAATGTAAGAAGTAGAAAGTAAAAAGTGGTCAGAAAAATAAGTAGTGGAGTAAAGTACTGATACCAGCAATGTACTTAAGTACAGTAACAAAGTATTTGTACTTCCCACCTCTGCAATACAATGTCAGGTGCGTCTAAAAGTGATTCTTATTTTTTTAAATGTCTTCCAGGCTCACTGACTCTCCACCACTGGCAACAACTGGCCCAACCTCACCTGGCCACCATCTTGGATCCTCACCCAGGTGTAGTGACGAAGGGTTTCTGCCCCCTGGCTCAAGATGCCGTCTACAACATGTCAGACATGGAGGAGGATGAGGAGGGTGAAGAGCGCAGGAGTAAACAGGAGAAAGGGGCGACAGAGCGAGGTAAAGAAGAGGAAGAAGAGGAAGAAGAAGGCGGGATAACCTTCAAAGTGAGGGTTTCATCTACACCGAACGACAGGAAGTATTCGGTTTCGCCACTTCCTGTCCCGCCTCCATCCCCCGAATTACCTTCACCTTCTCCTTCTTCTTCCTCCTCTGTTAAATCGGACCTCTGTGCGACTCACCTCGTCTCCAGCCAATCAGCGCAGCCCATTACAGGAACATGTGCAACAGTGGTCCAATCACAGAGTCAGATCTGCATCTCCACGACAACAACAACTTCTAGTAAGTACTACTTGAAAAATAAAAAATATATCAGAATCAGAAACAGGTAGGTTTACACATACGAGGAATTTGACTTGATGTCATAAAAAAATATTAGAAATATAGCAGTATTTACATAGAAATAGAATGGAATAAAATATGGAATAAAATTCGGCAATAATAAGGAAAAACAAAACCAAAAAAAACACTTTTATGTATTATATATACTATTATATTATTACAGCTCTTTGTTGTGTGTTTTAGTCCAAAATCCAGGGAAGTGCCAGAGCTCCACCTTCTCGACGTACACCTTCACGACGTGTAGCATCCTGCACCCGAGCGACATCACACAGGTCACCTCAAGGTAAGGACAAAGAGAACATTTACTTCATACTTTAATAGGAGAGTAGAGTAAGCTATCTTAATACATATATGAGAAGAAAAGCACACATCAGTAGTCAAATTGAAATTAAGACAGCAAAGTAAACAACCAGGGTTAGCAGCAGTTAAAACCAAAACAAAACAACTTCTGTTTCTTCATGTTTTTCCAGTTCTCAGTCGTCCATCATGGCCAACACTCCCAGCTCCATGAGGACGGGTCCCAGTACTCCAGTGACTCCGTGCAGGCTGAGTTTAGGCGACTGTTTCCCCCCTCGTCGCCCTCCTGTGCCCACCAGAGGTCTGGCTAAACTGGTCCTGGAGAGAGGCATTTCTGCACAAATCTCCATCGACACGCCTCCTCCATCTCCAAAACCTACATCCCGACAGCCTCTGTTTCGTCTCCTCCCAGGAACGCCTCCTAACTCCCCTTCTCACTCTCGCTCTCCCTCTCCCGTGCCTCATGAATCACGTCAACATCCCCACGATAATTTCCTCGTTTCTCGGCCCGCGGAGCTTTTCCTGCAGGACGTTTACGGGTTAAATCTGGGTCGTGCTCCACATCCAGATTTGCCGAGTCCCTCCCAGGAAGCTCCCCCTTCCCCTAAATTGGGTCGACCTAGGCCTGATCTCGGCTTAGTGGAGAGATTACGACGACTTGGATTCACTAAAGTGCTCCAAGGATCGAAATCCGACGCGTCAGCACCACGACAGGATTGTTCTACGTTTGTTTCAGCGGGTGGTGGAAGCCTATTGGACGGTTTGAGGCGGAACCAGAGTCTCCCAGCTATGATTGGTGCCCGAGCAGCGAAGTCAACTCTTCCTCCTCCTCATCCTACAACCCTCGCTCTCCCCCCTTCTCCCTGGGGAAACCCCAACGAACGACGACGCCATCTTGGCTCTGTCTCCCATGTCCCGTCGTCCAAACGTTGATCGTCCAGAACATAAAAAAACCTCCATCTTCTTCTTCCTCCTTGTCTGCCTTTTGGAGAAAGTAGTAATGGCGGAACAATCCCTCCTTTTTATGACTTATTTTAAAGCACAATTTAAACTGAACTGACTGTTTTTAGCTATACCACCGCAGTGTCTATGTGTGTAGCTGTTTGCCATGATGCTAGTTACCGAGGCCTTAGTTTTTGCCTCTGGTTTTTTTCCACATCTTGATACCTTCTCAGTCATTATTAGTATTTATATATTTTTCCCACGAGGGTCTGGATGTTCAGGTAAAGGTAGACGAGGGACATGTAAGTGGACGAAGGTTTGTGGATGTGGATTGAAGAAGAACGAGTTATTACGAAAAGGAAGGTTTTTGTTAATAATGTAAAAAGGGAAAAGTAAGTGAAAAAGAGACTGAACATCCAGAGTTGCTATTCCAAGGGCTTGTTCTGTAGTTGGTTGGAAAAGTCTGTATTAAAATACTATCATCTGCCCATTTTAAAGTCAATGGTTTATCTGAAAATAACCAGTCACAAAAGAAGGGAATAAACATTAGGGCTTCGGATAACAAATATTTCCTTTATAGTTTAACCTGCCGATTATTTTCTAGATTCATCGATGAATGGTTTGGTCAATAAAATGGTGAAAAACCTCCCTGTCAGATTCTCTAAATTCAAGATGATGTCTTTCACCTGATTCAAAACCACCTTTTAATGATCCAAACTGAAAAAGGAGGTCATTTTTCGCATGAACAATAACCACCCATTATTTTTCTGTGGATCAAAGTTCACTAATTTTCACCGCTTTATTCAACACGCTTCTTTAACTTGAGGATTTAAGTGCTAGCTGGCTTCATAGCATACTGCCGGGCTAATATTGTAGTCAAACCATGCTATTGACATGCCGGTATTATTCATATTATTATGATTTTACAGTAGTCCAAATTTGTTGCACGGATGTTTTGTTCATCGTCCATGCCTCTTGCTACTTTGCCTACAAGTCCCAGCATGCATTTCGGCAAAAGATGCATATAGAGAGGTGAAGTCCCTCCCTTTCCGGTGGACCTCCATGGGACCTTATTTCGGAAAAAGTATGTATTGAAATCAATGGAGAGAGAAAGATTATCTCTCGATCCCGTTTGAATTGTGCCACGAATTACACATATGATGTTTGTCAATTTAAAAGATAATTTTGCAAGTCAAAAAAAAATAATGTGTCGTAAAACTGTGAAGTAACACTTTTTTTGTGTGAAACTACTCAATGAACTACATCTCCCGTCTCGCACCACACACCCAGACGGCCGTCACGTTGGCACATTTCACTTCTTTCTTTCAGAATGAGGCGGAAAGTATTAAAAGAAGTGAAAATCACTCCAAGTCTGGGCATGTTGAGAGCTGTACATACACACAAGGGGAGTTAGTCGGTTCCTAAGAGCCAGCATGCGGGACCGGGACTCTGGGATTTGTAGTCTTTCTAGTTGCATATTTTTCATAGTCTTATATTTCAACAGTTTTACGACAAACTGTGACTTTTTTGACATGAAAATTATTTTTTAAGATTGACAAACATCATATGTGTAATTCATGGCACAATTCAAACGGGATCGAGAGATAATCTTTCTCTCTCCATTGACTTCAATATATACTTTTTCAGAAATAAGGTCCCATGGGTCGGAAGTAGATGGGCGGGACTTCACCTCTCTGTCATACGCAAGGCAAAAACAAAAAGGGTCTGTCTTTTCCTTCAGGTCATTGTGTTTTTAAATTGTAAAAGGCCTTAAGTAGAAGCCAGTACTGTTATAATTTATTTCCCTGCTAAGCCATGTTTGTATTATATTATTTGCACTTGGAGTTTGTGTTAAGTTGAGGGTCACTGATTGGTTGAACACATCTTAAAATAGATTTGAAGAAAGCTCTGACACTTATTTTAGGTTACTAATGTGTATACTTCCCACTCCGCACTTTTACTTTTGTATTTACCTTTGTTTTACTGACACCACTATTTGAAGTATAACATATTAATTTAGCATAATGTGTGCCTGTTGTAACACTGTCAACTAACACTTAAGGTTTTAATATATGTAGCATTTTTTATTTTGCTTTCCACATGAAGAGGTTAACAGAAGGGAATCCAGATGAGGCTGAAAGTGATAACACATATTTACAGTATGACATGCTAGTGCTAATTAGCTGTAACATAGTCAACAAATGATTGATTGGATTTGAGAGAAGGAACATACAGACATGTCTTATCATAAGATTTGTTGTCATACCCAGCAATACAGGTGTGTCTCTTTTAGCTCAAATATAAAATGTCCTCTCCTTTCTTCACGCCTCCCTTTTTAAACATCATAATCCTCTGTAAGCTACTCATGTCTGTTTTTCAGTTGCCTCGTTTTTTAAATAAAGCAATGGAAACAAAAGCCACTGACTCACCAAGTTGTTTCTTTATTACTCATACTTGTTAGAAGAAGTAGTGAACATGTTTGCTTCAAGTGCATTGATAATAAGAACAAAAGCATCAGTCGTTTTGTCCAGTTCAATAGGCATTAGCACACAGTCAATGGTTATACATATAAAGCCTAGCGTAATAATATGTAAATGGCAACTGCTGAAACTCAGAGCCTGTGAAAAATATGTGTACCCTTTGATTATTTGCGTAGTGAACTAAATTTAAAGTGGTCAACATGACAAAAAATGACTCACAACTCTCGTGACTCACTATTGCCTCAAAGTAGTATAACGAGTAAGTAAGGGTGGGGCTAGCTGGTTAGCATTTCAGTAGCACTTTCAAAAAGACACATCTTTAAAAATAATGTAAACAACAACTTGTAATGTAAGTTCATTGTTGAATTGTTAGATTTTAAACCTTAATTGTTGGCCACAAATTACTCATGAAAAGGTCCCATATTATACTGTTTTTCATGAATATATAATAGGTCTCAGATATATACAAAATATGTCTCTGAAGTTTGGCTCGAAATACCAAACAGATCATTGCAGCATCCCATAATCCCCTCTGTTTCAGCCCTGTTCCTGTTAGATTTTAAACCTTAATTGTACGCCAGATCTTACACATTTAAACTCTGAAGCATTTGTTCTAGATTCGTCCAGCCTACATGCTCACATGGGACAGATCTTAATGCTGTCAGAGCTGGAGCTAAACTGACCAAGAGCGAAATCCAGTCCCACCCCGACTCCACTTCCCACCCCGAACACGGCGTAAAGCGGCTGTGTGAAGTTAGCTCTGAATGTATGAAGGTGCGTCATACTTTCAGCCACGCTGTAGAACGCCAGCGTCCCCGTGGAGAGGTCCAAATAGATCCCCAAACGAGGAGAATAAGTGACGGGGATGTCTTTCTTCTGGTTGTCATGCATGGCCGAGCAGCAGGTGTCCGACAGCTCCAACGTCCAAGACTGGGCGTTGTAACCGAGCCCCGAACGAGCATCCAATCCTTTTCTAATCATCGCTTTGTAAGCTACGCCCATCGAGGATCCTCTTCCTCTCCACTCCACCTCCCAGTAACATCGCTGGGAGTACAGAGGGCTCTCGCACATCACCTGGGTCCATCCGTCAAAACGCTGAGGGGTGTTTGGGTACGGCTGCGCTGCCCCCTGCAGGGTGGCTTTAGTGTTGCCCTCGGAAAGAGAGAGCCGACGATGGGCTGTGTTGGCGTCGAGGGTGAAGGTCATGGAGTCTAGAGAGGGTTAAATTGACAATTATTCACATATTCTGGCAACTATTAAGCGTTAAAGCAACATTAAATAACGCTATTACCCAAATGGACTACCCTTTTACACTTAAACACCTTTTATATGGCTGGTATCTTTACAAAGAGAATCTCTGTACAGTAATATGTCTTTGGAGTAATCTTAATGGCAGTTTTTTATGAATGAATTCATCAAAAGTTGTGAAACATTGAGACTCACACTGTAGGAACTCCTCTCTGGTCCTTGGCTCTGGCGCCTGGATGCTGTCCAGGTTGATTTCTCTCACTGGATAAAAGCAAATAATATGTCCAATTAGCACAAAGTTGCAATGCATGTATTGATTTACCATACTCTCAAGATAAAGATTAACTCACATCCAGGGAAAGCAGGAGCCTGAGTCATGGTGTTGGTCGGAGAGTCCAGAAAAAGACCTGGGTTAACTGTGAGAAAACAATTAATAAGTTGACTAATTAGCTATATACTATAAGAAGAATATGAATATGAATAAAGGCTTCAATCTTACTCTCTGTTGGTGTTTCGGACAAAGCAGACATCCCCCCTGTTGAGTGAACACAAGTCAGACAATTAGACACTTGAAAAATGTTTATAATTAAAAGAAAAACACATTAATGGGTTGATTGAAGGTGAGTTAGGGAATACAAAAATGTAATCTTACATGGGTTTGTGTTATTTTCCTGGGTGATTGGGGTAGCCGCGGTTGTGCCACGTCGATGGGAACGGAAGAGGCTGCTGATCGATGCCATCCGACTGAAACCTGACCCTGAACCAGGAAGAGAGGAAAAAAATATGTTGTGAAAATAGTGAATGTACTCTTTCAATCTGAGAGTAACATGATAACAAAGGTATCCCAACTGTAGCTGTGAACATGACAGGATGTGTGATTACCTAGAAGAGCATCAGGACTGTTTGAGGCATATGATAGCTATGTGATTAACATGATGATTCAGCCTCTATGGAGATAGACATATGACAAGCATGCTCATTTCTGACGTGGAGCTAATCTGAAGTAAACATTGAATACTGCTTTCTATTCCTCCATCTTGTGACTGTGTAACTCCCTCTCTTGGATATCAGCATGTGAAGGACACTGTTCACAGGGCCGTCCCACCCTACAGGCCGAACATGCAGACTGCGTGGGGCCTCATCTTGTGGAGGGACCGGGAGGGTGCCTCAACTGAGCCGAAAATGCGGCGCACCTATGCGCTGCAATTAGTGTGGCGCTGCACGGTTTGCCGCTGCGAGGCTCCTCTAGCACCCCCCCCACCCGTCAACGACGCTCGCGAAACTAGAGGGCCTCATCATATGCATGGGGCCTTGCGTGGGGCCTCATGTTGGCCAGGGACGGCCCTGAGATTGAAGCTCAAGCTGGTGACGAGTGATATTTTTCTAACAGAAAACAAAAGGTGTTACACTTTCAACACAAAAAGTGGCAGCAAATGTTGGTGAAAAGAAGGGTACAGTACCTGCGTTTGATGCTGCAGGTGCAGGTGCTGGACTAGGAGCTGGAGTTGGAGTTGGAGTTGGAGTTGGAGTTGGAGCTGGAGTTGGAGTTCGTGTGGATGGGATTCGAGTCGGGGTTTGAACCGGTGCTGCAGCCTGGCTCTGACTGGACCGGCTCCAAAGAGATTGAGACTCTTTGCGGCTGGGAGTTGGGCTCGGAGTGGGACTGGGTCTGGGGTTCGTCTCCCTCACTGTTTAAAGGGAATGAGAAATGTTAGATCTATGCAGAGTTTGAAGAAGTACTCAGATCTTGTACTTGAGTAAAAGTAGAAGTACCAGAGTGTAGGAATACTCTGTTACAGTAAAAGTCCTGCATTCAAAATGTTCCTCAAGTGAAAGTAGAAAAGTATTCTCATCAAAATATAGTGAAAGTAGCGACAGTAAAAGTAGTCATTGTGCAGATTGGTCCATTTCAGAATAATATATATGATATGT